CCCAGCTAATCACGACAGCGTACATTGCAGCATCGCCGCAGGTGAAAACGGTGGGACTCCTCGCGACCGACGGAGAGATTGATAAAATCGACAATCAAGTATAGTCCAACACCGAGTAGTTTTTCATGTCGACAAGTCCATCCTATAGCACCGCTTGAAAGCTCTCTCCTTCAGCAGCGTAGTGGCTTGAATTTCCATGACATCCTCTGTCGAACATGGGATCCGATTTCTTGGCCGTGCGAAGTCTCATGAAAGCGACCAAACAGATAACAAGACTGCAGAATTCAACGTCAGATTTCAGGCGTTGGCGTGCAGCCGGGATGCATCGTCACTCTCGCTCAGGCCCGCTCGGAGATCTATGGGGATACAGAGACAGTGTTGTTGCGATCTTGACTGTTAAACACTGCTACCTTGGGGGCAAAAGGGAGAGTAAAACTGTTTGGTTAGGGGAGGGCATATATTGCCTAAAACTCGACAAATCGTGCTGCCTATGGGCCGATTGCACAGCCAATCAAATCGCGAAGTGTTTGTTTAGCACGTATGCGTCCAAAAAAAAAAAACGCTCCAGTCGAGGACGGTCCTTAGCAACATCATCCTGGGATACCGTTCGAATCACGGTGATGACGGTGGCAATGTTCGGATGAGGCGTTGGGACGTCCTTTTCAGCTCTCTGTTAAACCTTTCGAGTTTTTTTTTGTACTAGCGACGAAACCGCGAACAAATAATGTAATCTGATTGAGATCACTGGATTGTCTTACCTGGCTGATCAGTTGCAGGTATAGTCGGATAAACCAGTGCACCCCCATTGCTTGAGCGCATGGAGCTTGTCCCGCAGCCACTCGTGAAAATCGGCGGGAATGAATTCCTTCCTCGGGGGGGGGGGGGACAAACTCAGTAGTGTTTAATTGTTCTTGCTGTACTTTTAAGTTGTGGTGCTACGACACGTCGCTCGACAAGTTCCGATGAACTTCCGAGCATTAGCAACTCAGCTGGCTGCCAGGTTGACTAGAATCATTTTCCACGCTGGAATCTCGGCAACGACGATACATGAAAGATAATTTACGTGTGGTCACTTCGTCATACAATGCGCTGCAAGAACTAACGCTAGTAGAGCAGATATTATCACCATCGAAGTAGAACGATATGCTGCTCAAATCAAGTCGTACACAAGGCATGGCCATAGTTATAAGTATCACGTTACCGTAAGTAATAGAAACTTTGACGTCGCACAAAATCAGACGAGCATGCGCACTAACTATGAGCGGGTATTCGACGGAGCTGCCTCGTAAGTCTACACATCATAA